GAGCTTTGTCACCTCATCATGCAATGCTGCAAACACTGAGGACAGTATTACCAGACAAATAACAATATCCTAAAGTTTTTGTGGCTTCTTCTGGTCTCCTGCTGTTGTGGCAATATTGACGCATGTCTTTGAGATATCTGTTGAACTTATGGTTGCTGAAAAATGTCTCAACCTCTTCCCTATCTGAATATTTTAGATTTTCTTTCCTTAAATAACACACAGTAATGAAATGTCTCGACAATTGTTTTTATTTGCTTCTGTAGTGACCAAGTGGGATGATTACTTTTCTGAGCTTTGTATTGAATGAATATTGCATCCTTGTTATATTCAAAGGGGACAGTCTTTTAAGTCTTAAATTGCTTTGCACTGTTCTTCAGACTATTTTGTAGAGAAAGATGTGGTAGACTTGCAGATCTTATTTAAAAATTACGACTGCAATCATGCACAGATAGTGCAGCAACGGCACACACTTCCTTCATTGTCATAACATTTTAAAACCACTACCGCTGCTGTTTATTTGTGCATATACTTTTCTGTACAATAATGTAGAATGTGGGTGAAGCAGCCTGTGTGTTGTGGTATTATCTCATCTGTAATTGGCTGCATAATATTATCAGTAGTTCTGCTTTTTCTCAGCAGAAAGACTACCTGTTTCCATTGTCAATGCTAAAACATAGCCAGTTGGAATGTTTTTTTCTCGCCATGACTAAAACTGTAGAGCTAACTCTTTTATGGTGATTCTTGCAAGAGTAAGCCAGGCTTCCCATTTTTTCCATTTTAAGACGCACTTCATCAAGAAGCGAGAGCAGTTATAAAAAGTACAGCCAGACCAATTTATGTGATTGCAATTTTGGATTTCAATCTGAGACCTCTAAATGATGTAACTGGTATAATACTGAGAATTTGCTGCTTTAGTGCCTGCTGAGAATTAACATTTTAAAACTGGTACAAAAAGGCAAGTCAAAATTACCTTTAATGAAGTATTGGAAGAATCATTTGGAAGAGGACATATGGTATACTTGCCTTCTTAGCCAAGGCATTGTGTTTAAGAGCAGGGAGGTTATGCTGGAACTGTATTAAAGGTTGGTTGGGCCACAGGTAGAGTATTAGTTCTGGAATCCACATTATAGAAGGAATGTGATTGAATGGGAGAGGGTGCAGAAGATATTTACCAGGATGTTGCCTGGGTTAGAGAGTTTCAGTTATGAAGAGAGACTGGACAGCCTGAAGTTGTTTTTGAAGCAACTCCATAGAAGCCGGTATTCTGTTACCAAGTCACCCTTTATTTACACATGAACAGTCCTTGACTTTAGTACTGCCTCTTCAGAGTGTCAAAATCTCTTTTTATCTGTCAGCCAGGGCTTCCTGATTGGACCAGATTAACAGCCCAATTGGGAGATTCATATTCTATGAGGTCCAGCTGGCTTACCCCATTACAATCACTACAGTTTTCCTTAGAGCAGAGAAGATTGAGATGGGACATAATTGAGATGTATAAAATTATGAGGGGCATACTTAAGGTAAACAAGAAGAAACTTTTGGTAGAGGGATCAATGACTGGGGACATAGATTTAAGGTAAGGAATGGGAGGTTTACACAGGCAGATGTGAGGAAAATGATTTTCACCCAGTAGGCGATGGGAATCTGGAAGAGTGATAGGGGCAGTAACCCTCATAACATTTAAGAAGTATTTAGATGTGCACTTGGGATGCCAAGACAGACAAGGCCTGGCCAAGTGCTGGAAACTGGGATTACAATAGTTATAGAGTCACAGAGCCATACAGCACGGAAACAGACCCTTTCGTCCAACCAGTCCATGCCTACCATAATCCCAAACTAAACTAGTTGGGTATTGTTTTTGACCAGCGCAGACATGATGGGTTAAGGGCCTTTTTCTGTGCTGCAGCTCTCTATGACTAATCACCCTGAAATAAATTTTATCTGCAGTTATAGGATCAACCTTCATCTCTCTAGATTTAATTTTTAACCACTTCCCTTATCCCCATCACCGTCTTTGGCTTTCTAAAGTTAACAAGAAACTTGTACAAGATGGAGCTTGAACATTGGCAAGTTCCGAACAATCAAGTGTTGATGAAATTTGTGCCCTTGGCACCGATGCATCTCCCTCCTTTATTATATGCTTAGTCCAAACAAGGCTGTGTGCAGTTTTGACATCTTGGGTGATTCCCACTTAAGCTTCAGGATACTTAGCCCTTACATTTTTAAGATTATTATTGTTACCTGACCCCATTCTTACTCCACCCACCAGAAAAAAAACATTTATCCATCCCACTGTCAGGTCTGGATGATTTCACTAATACATTCCCAGCCTGCCTACTGATCTTCATCTGACTTGTCCAAAAATCCACTGTGTGAATCCTCCTGAATGCCCAAACCCACGGATCTATATGGCTTTCTCAATCCTAAAATATCTCAAAGTCCTTACGATACACAAGCCTCTCAAGGGCCTTACATCCCATGCCCCCTAGTCTTTTGATTTTGGCTGTCAACACATCTTTCGATCCCCTCCATCCCATGTCGCCAAAGAGGAAAGACCCTTCATCACCTCTGCTCTATTTGCATTTCCAGATTCCTTTGGCTCATTACTGCCCTCCAACTGCAGCAATTTCTGTAAATCTGCCCCTTTGAAAAACATTAGGTCTTACAAGGAGGTTATATAATGTTTGTTCTTATATGGGACATTTTTATGTTAAATGCCAATGCAATTGCAAGTTCTTTTATACAAACTACTGAGGCTGAATGTGCAAATAATAAGTATTTTTCTTTTGAATCCTTCGCATTTATTTTGTCAAGTGCAGGAAGCATAATCTCTCTCACAGTATGCTATCCTTGTATCCCATGAGCTCCATATGCTTCTCCTCTGTGTGGCTACAGTTGGTTGAATTAAGATGATGGATAATTCATTGCTACTGATTGGCAACATTATCTGAAGGATGTGAAAGCCTTCTGCTACCTCAGTGGGAAAGCGAGTGGCTCCAATAATATGTCAGTAAGTGTTGGCATTCCTGCAGAAATTGGGCCTAATGTAGTTTGTGGAACCCAAAGATGGTCATGTAAAGGTCAGAGGGCAATCTGAAAAGCAGTCTGAAACTAGAAAGCTTACACATTGAAAATAAACTCCATTGACAACGGAACCTAAGGGATTAGAATAGAGTCCCCTTTCTTTATTTATATTACCTTAGCTCTCCGATTGCAGCAGTAATTTGTACATTTTTGTTCTCTCGTGGGTTTTGGACTAGTATCTATTGACTGTTACTAATAGCATTTGAGAAAGTGGTGGTGAGCCGCATGCCTGAACTGCTGCAGTCCTTTTGGTGTATATACACCCACCGTGCTGTCAGGGAGGGAGTTCCAGAATTTTCACCCATCAACCATGAAAGGGCAGCGATATATTTCCAAACCAGGTTGGTGGGTGACTTAAGGGGAGTTTGCAGTGGTGCTCCATTGGGCCTGTTGCACTTGTAGATTCTAGAGGTCATGGGTTTGGAAGTTGCATTTTGCAGGATGTTTGAGTTGGTGCAGTGCATCTAATATACGCAGTGCACACTGCAGCCACAGTGTACTGATGGTGGAGGCAATGAGTGTTTAAGATGGTGATTGGGGCTCTGTGTACTAGACGGTCTTGAGCTTTTTAGGTACTGCTGAAGCTGCAGTCATCCAGGCAATTAGAAAATATCTCATCACATTGCTGAGTTGTGCCTTGCAGATGGTGCAAGCTTTAGGGAATCAGGAAATGAGATGCTGGTGCAGAATTCCCAGTCTCTGAACTGCTCTTGTTGCTATGGCATTTATGTGACTGGTCCAGCTAAATGTCTGATCAGTCGTAACTCCTGAGAGTGTTGATTGTAGGAGATAGTGATGCTAATGCTGGTAATGCCAAGGAATGATGGCTAGAATTTGTCCTTTTCCAGATGGTCATTGCCTGGGCCATCTCTGCTGAGAAAGTTAATTGGTATTTGTCAATCCAAGCCTAGATTGTTAAGGTCTTGCTATTTGCAGGTTGCACTGATTCACTGTAAAATTGGAAGGAATTTTAATTCGGCTTGCAGCGTATGTGGACCTTTTCAGTGTGAAAGATGTACCAGTCTTGTATACGCTGCTGTGTGAAAGGTTGTGAGTTTCTAATCCCTGCTTTATCCTTTTTGTACAATAAAATTTCCACTGAACGCAATGCAAAAGGGTATGGTTCACACTGGACTCTTCTATCGCATTGGTCTGCAACTCCTCTGAACAGTAATAATAGATTTGATGAGTCCTGTAAGTATTTCTAATAAAGTATAGCTGAAATTTTCCAACAGAATCCAGACAGTTTGGCCCATTTTAAAGGGCAAGTTGCAGTTTTTATTCATTTGCAGGATTCCTATTTTCAAATTTCCTGAGATTTATTCAGTACTGAAATCTGGAAGTAACTTTCCATAAGTACCTGTGCAGTATCAGAAGAAATAGAAAATAAACCTCTTGTGAACTAACTTCTTATGTTGTTCTTGATTAGTTTTAAAGTTGCTCTGAGGAACTGGTCACTGCTAATGAAGCTTATTTACTGCCTATGTTGCTCATAATTCATATTGTCCTTTTGAGGGACATGGTTTCTGTGGGAAATTCAAGGATTGGAAATATGTGTCCAAGTTTCTTGTCTAAGCGTGGATAGTGCTTGTAGAAGACCTCCAAGGTGATGGTTTTGCTGCTGTTGTTAAAGACAGGAGATGCTATTAAATTGAGCTCAGCGTGTTAGTACAATACATCCTCTAGGTAGAACACACTGCAGCTACAGAATCAGCTGAGGTAGTGGATGGATTCTGAGGCCAGTGATGAATATACCATGAAGCAGGCTACTCTGTTGTCAATGGTTTTGAGCTTTCAAATGTCATTGCAGCTACAAGTGGAAACACTAGATCAATTAGTCTTTACATTCATAGCTATGTTTTCATTGCTTGTTTTTGCTTGGCAACATACAATGTACCTGTTTCTTTATTAAACAGGTTGACTTCAATCTAGATGCTCTTTTGAAGACTCAAGTGGCCAAGGGCTGGTTTAGATTGATGCCTTTTGAAAAAAATGAAGACGATGCAGGGTAAGTAGTTCCTGTTGATTCAAGGCTTTGGATTTCTGCTGTCACATGTAAATTATTACATTTTAGCCATAAGGCATGTATATCATTGTAACCTAGTCACGGAGCTAATAAGCATAACATGTACCTGGCTGGTAACAGGTGAATTTCAAAATACAGTCCGCAATATTATTGTGTGAACACATCTAGATTTATTTTCAAAAAGTGACTGATCCATGTTGGATCAAATAGGATTCAACTGTATCTATGAACTAAATGAATTTGATCCGATAAGTCTACCTCTTTTTGGTTAATCTTAATCTCAAATTCCATGCCTTGCATCAAATCTGCCTGGTTCTTTCTTAATTGGTAGGGTCCCTCATTTATTGATTTTTAAAAGTTCATTAATAAGGTGTGGGCATTGTCGATTAGGACAGTATTATTGCTCATCCCTAGTTCCCGTAAAGAAGATGGTATCGAGCTGCTTTCTTGAACCACTGCATTCAGTGGGGTGTTGTTTGGCACACTGCTGTTGGGAAGTTAGCTCCAGGATTTTGACCCTGTGACCATGAATGAACAACAAAACATTTCCAGTTGAGGATGGTACGTGACTTGGAAAGAATCTTGTTTGTGTTGGTGTTCCCATGCGTGCCAAGGTTATTCCTTTAAAAGTACCAGATAGCTCTGTTTTGATTTCTTCTATAATTTTGGTGATAATTGAGAGTAGATTGACAGGACTTTGGTTAGACCACACTTAGAATATTGCATTCAGTTCTGGTTGCCACATTACAGGAAGGATGTGGAGGCTTTGGAGAGGGTACAGAAGAGGTTTACCAGGATGCTGCTTGGATTAGAGGGTATGTGCTATAAGGAGAGGCTAGAAAAACCTGGGTTGTTTTCTCTAGAGTGGTGGAGGCTGAGGGGAGACTTGATAGAAGTCTATAAAATGATGAGATGCATAGATAGGGTTGACGGTCAGAATCTTTTTCCCAGAGTTGAAATGTTGAAAACTAGGGGGCATGCATTTAAGCTGTGGTGGGGGAAGTTCAAAGGAGATGTGAGGGACAAGTTTTTTACACGGAGACTGGAATGTGCTGCCAGAGGTGGTGGTGGAGGCAGATATGAAATTGGCACTTAAGGGACTTTTAGATAAGCACACGCAAGGAATGGAAGGATATGGACCAAGGGCAAGCAGAAGGGATTAGTTTCATTTGGTGTCACGTTCGGCACAACATCGTGGACCGAGGGGCCCATTCCTGCACTGTACTGCTCTATGTTTTAGGGTGGTAATTGGCAAGGTTGGACTTATCCTACTTTTAGAAACATGGCATATTTGGGAAATTTTCAACATTGTCTGATAGATGTCAGTGTTGTAGATGTGCTATGAACAACTTGGCTTGGAGTATGGCTAGTTCTGAAATACAATTCTTAAATGGTATTGCCAGAATGTTGTCAGGGCCCATTGCTTTTTTCTTTCTTTATTCATTTACGGGATAAGGGCTTCGCTGGCTAGGCAGCATTTATTGCCCATCCCTAATTTCCTGGAGTGCAGTTGAGAGTCAATGACATTGCTGTGGGTCTGGAGTCACATGTAGGCCAGACCATGTAAGGATGGCAGATCTCCTTCTCGAAAGGACATCAGTGAACCAGACGGGTTTTTCCAACAATCAACAATGGATTCACGGTCATCATTAGATTCTTAATTCCAGATATTTATTGAATTCAAATTCCACCATCTTCCATGGACGGGATTCGAACCCTGGCCCCAGAAGGTTATCTGGTTCTCTGGATTAACAGCCCAGCGATAATACCACTGGACCATCACCTCCCCTGCAGTATCAAGGGTCTTTAGTCATTTCTTGGTATCATATGGAGTGAACCGAATTGACTGAAGACTGGCATCTGTGAAGCAGGATTTTCTTATAACAGGGCCAAGATTATTAGGCCATAAGATATAGGAGCAGAAGTAGGTCATTCAGCCCATCGAGTCTGCACCACCATGATATATTTCCCAACCCCATTCTCCTGCCATCTCCCCGTAACCCTTGATCCCTTTACTAATTGAGAACCTATCCTTCTCTGTCTTAAATGCACTCAATGCCTTGGCCTCCACAGCCTTCTTGGCAATGAGTTCTACAGATTCACCACCCTCTGGATGAACAAATTCCTCCTCATCTCAGATGGATCAAATACCTGGCATATCTCATTGAAGATAGATGCAAATGCTTCAGCTTTGTCTTTTTTGCACAGATGAGCTAGGCTCCTTCATTATTGAGGATGGGATATTTGTGGAACCCTCTCCCCCAGTGAATTGTTTAATTGTCCACTATTATTCACATTTAGACATGGCAGGACTGAAGAGCTTAGTTTGTTGAACCAATTTATTCTGTTTGATTTCCAGGTGCCTATTACCATGGGCATAAAATCATCCAGCCTACTTAACACGATACTTGATTTAACTCTAATTCTTCACAATTTTCCAAAATTTTTGAATCCTTCAAATTGTGAACAACTTCAACCACTTTTTAATCGGCAGAGAAATTGAGCAATGCAGTCCCCTTACCATCAGGTGTGACCAGTGAGCAATGCAATCTGTTGGAAACATATTCTTGTAAAACCATATCTCAAGTGTCATCTTTGACTTTCACAGTGCCTTTTGCACTCAATACCCCAGAAAAGGTCTAAATAGTATTACTCAGAATAACACCATCAGCTCATCATCACCTTTACTTTCCATTTAAACTCTGTCCCTCTGCTAATCAAACCTATTGTATGCTTGTCCTTCATTCGATTGGACAGGTTTTTTTTTCACAATTATCCCTAGGTCTGCTATTCTCCTAACAAAGATAAGATAATTCTGCAAAACTGAATCCATTCCCTTTTCATTTAACCAAATGTCTGAAATGATACTAAGGTTGTTCTCTTTGGAGCAAAGGAGGTTTTGGAGAAATCTATTAGAGTTGTACAAGAGCATGACAGATTTAGTTCAGAGAGACAAAGGAAGGTTGTTCCCATTAGCTGATGGCACAAGGACTGGGAGACCTGGCTTTTGAGCAAGAACCCTAAGAGGGATGTGAGGAAGAAATTTTTTTACTCAGTTGGTGGTAACAATCTAGAACTAGAGTGGTGGCAGGAGGGACGAACATTGAGTTCAAAAAGAAATTGGATGGGCCCTTGAGAGAACTAAACTTGCAAAACTGTAGATAGAGTGAGGGAATGGGATTGATTGCTCTATAAAGAACCACAATGGGGGTCTAGGAGCTGAATGGCCTCCTTTCATACTGTCATGACTCTTTGACCAATTGACCAAGTGGTTTAAAAACATATCATGTGTCTTTCATCCGAGGTTTTATTGTCTAGGTTGATTTGGTCCCTGCTGGAGTAATTTTTCATTGGGATACCCTGTAAAGCTTCAGGGAAATAATATGAATGAAATTTATGATCACAAAGACATTCAGAACCCAACTGATTTAAACAAGAAATGTGATTCTGTATCCTTGCCAAGCTGATGGGAAGTGCCTCCAATGAGGAATGCATGTTGAAATATGGATGCAGGCAATGCATTACTTCCCAATCATTACTTTAAATAATCATGACCAGTTTTCTAATATTTTCAGTCACTGGGTGAGGTTGTCTATAAAATCCCAAAATTTACTCTGTGGAGCCACATTTTTGTTTTTGACTGAGATATATCAAAAGTGCCATTTTAATAGAAACTTAGGAAGATGAATAGGCCATTCAATCTCTCGAGTCTGTTCTGTTACAGAAATTAGGCCATGGCTGTGATGATCCACACCTCCATTAATCTATCTTTGATCCATATCTCTTGATGAATACCGTAATACTCTACATAATTTCAATTGACCTGGATTTCACAACTTAATGGAAGTGAATTCCAGATTACTTCCTGATTATGCTTTTCTGTTTGGGATTTCCCCATCAGAAGTTTTATTAATTGCTTTAAATACCTTGGTTGGATTGTCTGTCCGCCTTTTAAATTCAAGGTGATACTGACTACGTTTATGCAGCAAGGCCTCATAATTTAACCCTTAATTAAGCTCCCATGTCATTCTGGAAAATCTGATCATTATCTTTTAGTACAATTGAACATTGGGCTCTAGGTAAGGTCTGATCAAATCTCTGTACAACTGAACCATAACCTCACTACTCCTGTTTTCTAAGCCTTATGAAGTAAAGGCCAACATTCTATTTGAATTCTAAATCACTTTTAAACTGAAATGTGCACCAATTAAGATCTGGTAAGTTTGTTCATTCTGACATTTAATTAAACTTAATTAAAAACAGAGAATGCGTTAGAAACTCAGCAGTTTGGCAGCATCTGTGGAGAGAGAAACAAAGTTAATATTTTGAGTCCTACTCTTCTTCAGAAAGTCATATCAGACTCAAACCATTAGCTCTGTTTCTCTCTGCACAGATGGTGCCAGAACTGTTTATAGATTCATACAGCACAGAAAAGGCACTTCAGCCCATTGAGTCTGCATTGACATAACTACCACTAAAAGTGTGCTAATCTCAATTTCTTGCACTTGTCCCATATCCTTGAGTATTATGATATTTGAAGTACTCATCCAAATATTTTTAAAGGTTATAAGGTTTCCAGCCTCTGCTACCTTGCCAGGCAGTGTACTCCAGATTCCCACCACCCGCTGAGTGAAAATGTTTTTCCCCAAATACCCTCTGAATTTCCTGCCCCTTACCCTTAAACTATGTCCTCTCATGATTCATCCCTCAACCAAGGGGAACAGCTGCTCTCCATTCACCCTGTCCATACCACTGATCATCCTTTACACCTCAGTCGTGATCCCCTGAGACTTTTCTGCTTTTCTGCACTGTTCTTAAAAATTGGAACCACATTAGCTGTCCTCCAGTCCCCTGGCACTTCCGCTGTGGCCAGAGTGAAATTAACGCTGTTGGGATTCTCCAGCATATTTTGTTTTTATTGCAGATTTTCAGCATCTGCAGTATTTTGCTTTGATATGTATTTGAAAATATTTGTTAAATTATGGTTTCCACCTATGGTGAAAATGAGCACAGGCACCTCGTCCAGAACATTAAGTTTATGTTGGATTCCTGCACACTCCCACTTACCAAAATTTGGAAATAGGTAATAACCCTAAAATATGGTCTCATCATGGTAAACAATGCAGCGAAACTGAATCCTCTTAATACAGGACTTCCACAAATACATTAGCAGTGGTGAATACTGTATCAACAAGGAAACCAAAGCCAGATTTCTCCCTGCATATCTCTGTCGCTACAGTCTCTTAGATCAGCTCTTGAAATTCTGTAACACGTTGCCAGAGATTTATTGCACAGCACAGACTTGGTCTGAATATTAGGATCTTCTGGGTCTGTCTGGCTGCATTAATCAACTTGAATCATTGCAGAAATTTATCTGTATTTCACAAGTAATTCCAATAATTAATTTAAGAACAAACAAAATTTTGAGTTCCTTCTTATTAGAACGAAGACATTCAGATCTTTTCCTTCAGATCTTGGTCCATCAATAAATTAATCTCCATTGTTTAATAGGAGTGTATAAGAGAATACAAATTTTGTAAGAGCCACCAGAGATTCACAAGCATGAATTTTACAGTGACGAACAACGTGATTGTAGGTCTCACGTTTATGATGGATAGAACTGGTACAATTGGTAGAAGACTGAATAGCAATCTAGTCCTTTACTGCCATTGACTTTCAGGGTAAAGGCTTTCCCATTGCCATTCTTAAAAAAAATTCTAAATTCAAAAATAAATGCCATGGTTCTGGTTTTTACAACGAATGGAGGTATATCTTGGGGCAGTATATCAGAAGGAATTTGAGCACTTGGAATGAAACATAAACCCATGCCAAAATTAATTGGGTGAAATTACTGCTTTTATTCTCCCAGTAGTTACGACTTTGATGATAAAGTTTGAATGAAGAAGCTCTTCTTAGTTTCACTGAAGGCTACATTCCTCAGAGCATTGAATGGATAAAATAATATTGGGAATACATAATAAGGTTTGGGTCCTGATCACTGATCCAAGTGTTTACATTCATAGTAGCATGTTTTCATGAAGTCGATATGTTGAATGATATGTGAGTACACAAAGTATTATCAGCTTGTCGGAATAATTAGAAAGGAGATACAAGGCTATATTGCATAAGGTTACATAAGTTTAAATATGTTTGCCTCATAGAATATATAGCACAGAAACAGACATTCAAATCTCTTTTTTGTCCCTGTTAATCTTCTCTGCATCCTCTCCAATGCTTCTGTCCATTTTAAAATATGACACTTAGTGCCTGCGCAGACTGTGTTCTAACCAAGGTTTGATACACATTTAGTATAATTTATCTATTTTGCAGTTCTATTTATCAATCCAGAAATAAATCTGAGAACTTTGATGCATTTTTAATAGTGTTGCCAACACAGTAGCATAAATTTTAGTGATTGTACCAATCTAAATTTGCACCTTCCAAATGATAAATGGCCTATCTATTCTTTCCACAAAGTGTATGACCTCACATTTATCTATGTTAAACTTTATTTGCCAATTATTTGCTCATTCTGACAATTACATCATGCTGTAGTTTGTTGCAGATTGCTTCAATATTGCTTCAATATTGACTAACCTTCAAATGCGACTTAGAAATCATGTTTGTAAAAGTTCAAATTGTCAATGAAGTGGAGAACAAAACTGTCCTTATAAAACACCACTTCCACCTTCTGACATTCCGAATAACTATCCTTTACTTCCACTTCCACTTTCTGCCTTGAAGCCAGCTCGCAATCCATTCATGTCTCCTAACTCTACATTCTGTGGCCTTATTCAATTGTTTTTTTTTAATCACCTTATTGAACCTATTGAAAGTCCTACTTTTGCTACTTTCTTTGTTGTGTCTTAGTACATTCAATAAGATTGGTCAAGTAAGATTTTTCCTTTAGTCTTTTTTAAATCTTTCTTACAGTGACTACACTTCAAATGTACTTCAGTGACTGTAAAGTATTTTGAGACAAGGTGCTGGTGAGACCATGCCTTGAGTACTGTGAACAGTTTTGGTCCCTTCATTAAGGAAAGATGGCATTTTACTTGAGACAGTTTAGAGAAGCTTCATTTGGATGATCCTGGTATGGAGGGATTGTGTTATGAGCAAAAGCTAAACAGGTTGGGACTCTACACACTGGAGTTTAGTTGAATGAGAGATGATCTTATTGAAACATATAACATTTTTAAGGAGCATGACAGGGTAAGTGTTGAGAAGATGTTTCGCATCATCATAGAGCCTAGGCCAGAGGGCATGGTCACAGGGTAAAGGGGTGCCAATTTAAGAGGAGGAATTTCTTCTCTCAGGGTTGAGAGTCTTTGGAACTTCTTGCAACAGAGAGCTGTAGGAGCAGAGTATGTCCGTGCATATATAAGGCTGAGATAGATAGATTTTTGATTAGTGAGGGAATCAAGGGTTATGGGAGAAATACACGAAGAATGTTGGATGGGCCATGATCATGTTGAATGGCAGAGCTTATGAGCTTGTGGTCTTATAGAGATGTCTGGTGCCTGTGTAAAGCACTTTTGAAATCCATGCTGACTATTCATTTTTTTCATTTCTGGAAGTTCTTATCTTCTCTCATTTAGTAGGCATTTCATTACTTTTCTTACCAGTTAAGATAAGTTAATAGGTCAATAACTTGCTGGATGTGCCCTATATCTCTTCCTAAATACAAGTATAATGTTACTATCCTCCAGTCCTCTGACTGTAACTTTTCTTGAATAAATCATTAAATATATGTAGGAGGGTCTCTGCTATTGCTTTCCTTGATTCTTTTAAAATGTGTAGATGCAATCCATTCAAACTGGGGTTTTATCTTCTTTTAATTTCATTATTTTCTTTAATGCTTCCACATTTTAAAATCTAAATGTACTTATCTCATTATTTATCTTATCATTTAATATTATGTTGACCTGTTATCTCTCTGGTGACAACTGAAGCAAAATAATTAGTTAATATTTCTGTTTACTTTTAATTGCAATGTTTTAATCATGACTTATCCATCAATAGTCTCGCTGTCATCTCCATTTTCACCTTTTACTGCTGTGTCTGCAAAATATTTTACCAGTTTGTTCTGTGTTCCCTGAGAACTTAATTACATAGCTCCTCTTTCCGTTCCTTTACTTTTTATCAATCTGTTGGTATTCTCTTATGTTTTTCCACTGTTGTCTGTCTACTTAATGTATGCTTCTGACTCTCCATTGTTGTCTATATCTTTATTCACCAATGGAGTTTCATTAGTTTTAATTTCTTCTTTTATCGCAGTATATTTTTCCTGCACTGCTATTGAAAACAGTTTTAACTCTTGCCCGTTGTTGTTCTACTTTGCAGATACTGTTGCCCATTTTGCTTTCACAAGTTCTATCCTCAGCTGATTAACATCAGTTTCTGTCCAATGAACCCGCATTTTCACTGTCATCCTAATGTGTGTTGTATTGTGGTCACTGTTGTCTAGATGCTCGATATCAGTACTTAAAAAAAACATAATGCAGAACTTTATGTATAAATCCTGAACAATTTCATAAGAAAGACCTAGTGAAATCAGTGATTTTTGTTTTCCAACTCCAGATGGAGAGTGCCAGTATCAATGTGATATTATCTATATTTTCACAGTGGTAAATTAGGAGCATTGCGATTAAAAGTCAGGTTAGCAGAGGACCGGATATTACCATCAATGTACTATCAGCCACTGATCGATCTCTTGGTGGAACCTGTGATCTCTCCTGCCAAAGTGAGTATCTGATGCTCTATCCTGTTAACACATTTAAATGGATGTGAAAAAACTAAGCACTTTCCAACCAGTGTTGTTGTGCCAGACTTTATCAAGTTTCAATTCAAATAGTTCATCTGAAATCAGTTAAATAAACGTATTGAAAGTTTTTGTGACCATGACGCTGCTGGGTTAACATCTTTGAAAACCAGTTCTTATTCCTCCAAACACAGCTCCACAATGCTGGTGGCAAATAACAACACTTCCCTGCATCAGAGATAGTCAGAACTGCCGATGAGAAAACACAGTGTGGAGCTGGAGGAACACAGCAGGACAGGCAGCATCAGAGGAGCAGGAAAGCCGACGTTTTGAGTCTGGACTCTTCTTCAGAAATGGGGGAGGGGAAGGGAGCTCTGAAATAAATAGAGAGGGGGGTGGGGCTTGGGTAGGTAGGTGGGATGGTGATAGGTGAGTGTAGGTAGGCAGTGGTGGGGATTGGTCAGTGAGGTGGGAGGAGCGGATAGGTGGGAGAGAAGATGGACAGGTTGTGTCAGGTCAAGGACGTAAGGATGTCAGGGAGGGTTGGTCATGGGATGAGGCTGGGAGTGGGGAGATTTTGAAACTGGTAAAATCCGCATTTAGGCCATTGGGCTGTAGGCTCCCAAGGTGGTATATGAGATGCTGCTCTTCCAGTTTCCGGGTGGCATTATTGTGACAGTGGAGGAGGCCCAGGATGGACATGTCGTCCAGGGAGTGGGAGGGGGAGTTAAAATGGTTTGCGACTGGGAGTTGTTGTCATTTGTCGCGAACTGAGCGCAGGTGCTTTACAAAGCAGTCTCTGAGCCTCCGCTTGGTCTCACCGATGTAGAGGAGGCCACATCGGGAACAGCGGATGCTATAGACCACATTAGTGGATGTGCAGGTGAACATCTGTCTGATGTGGAAGGTTTTTTTGATTCTTTGGATGGGGGTGAGGGGGGAGGTGTAGTGGCAGGTGTAGCACTTCCTGCGGTTGCAGGGAAAGGTGCCAGGGGTAGTGGGGCTAGTGAGGAATGTGGAGTGGACGAGGGGGTCACGGAGAGCGCGGTCCCTACGGAAGGCAGATAGGGGTGGGGAGGGAAATATATCCTTGGTTGTGGGGTCAGATTGCAGGTGGCGGAGAATGATATGTTGAATCCGGAGGTTAGTGGGGTGATACGTGAGGACAAGGGGGATTCCGTCTTTGTTTTTGTTGCGGGGAGGGGCTGTGAGGGCAGAGGTGCGGGAAATGCAAGAGATGCGGTCGAGAGCATTTTCGACCACTGAAGGAGGGAAGTTGCAGTCCTTGAAATACGAGGACATCTGGGATGTTCAGGAGTAGAACACTCCATCTTGGGAGCAGACACGGCGGAGGAATTGGGAGTAGGGGATCGCATTCTTGCAGGAAGATGGGTGAGAGGAGGTGTAGTCTAGGTAGCTGTGGGAGTCAGTGGGATTGAAATAGATATCAGTTTTGAGGTGGTCACCAGAGATGGAGACAGAGAGGTCCAGAAAGGAGAGAGAGGTATCAGAGATGGTCCAGGTGAACTTTTGGTTTGGGGGAAAGTTGTTAGTAAAGTTGATGAACTGTTCAAGCTCCTTATGAAAGCAGGAGGCAGCGCCGATAGTCATTGATGTAGAGGAGGAAGAGGTGGGGAATGGGGCCAGTGTAGCTTTGGAAGAGGGATTGTTCCACGTATCCTACAAAGAGGCAGGCATAGCTTGGGCCCATGCGTGTTCCTGTGGCCACCCCCTTAGTCTGTAGGAAGTGGGAGGAGTTGAAGGAGAAGTTGTTAAGGGTGAGGACGAGCTCAGTTAAGTGGATGAGGGTGTCGGTGGAGGGGGACTGATTGGGCCTGCAGGACAGGAAGAAGCGGAGGGCCTTTAGGCTGTCTGCGTGGGGAATGCAAGTGTATAGGGTTTGGATGACCCTGCATCAGTTGTGTTGAATTTATGTTGCATGACGTATATCATGGACAGAGAGTACAGCATGACTTTGTTAATTGTATGTTGCGCCTGATAATCTTGTTGAATTTTTTTGAGGATGTCAAGGGAGTGCCTATGAATGTTCCATTTTATGGACTTCTGGAAGGCATTTGACATGGTTCCATGAAGCACATCATGAGTAAAAAATGAGAATGGCCTGAAATAGAGATATTCTCATTTTTGACTTTGGCTTGTGATTAGGTGGCAGACCAGAAACGGAATGGGGATAAAGAATATATACTCAGGTTGGTGGGATGTGAGAAATGGTGTTCTGCAGTCTCAACTTTGCACTATTTTAAATAATTAATTGGATGGAGATATGAATAATTGCATGCGGGATAAATTAATGATGGTGCAAATAGTAACAGAATGACCTCCATCGACGTGTTTATGATTCTTTGATTCTAAGCGAATGGGCAAACCCTAAGAAGTTCAAGGTGGTGCAGTATGAGTTAATCCATTAGAAAGAATGAAAATGCTGTCAGATCAGCAGGTCAGAAACAAAATGGAGTAGAATTTCTGCAGCTAGAACCAGACATTTGGGGGCTACTCCATGAGACTGTGGTTCTAGTGGATTTAGTAGACCAAAGAAGAGAGTCCAATGTCATGACTCAAAGCCCTTGGCAGAACGATCTCCCTTGACCTGCCTCATATCCCAGATATTTCATAACCCACTACACGTAACAGGTTTATACACCCAAAGCCTGAAGTTGCTCAACTTGTTGTTTGGATCAGAAGGCCCAAGATTGACCTAAAGTGATAAGAACTGCAACTGATACTAGTCTTGATTCTGCTCAGAGCAGTGTCTGAGAGGTCAGCAGCGTGAACGGCTGGACCTGGGTTTGGGTCAGATGAGTTGTTTGAAGTCTTCATTTCCTGATTCAAAAACACCCCCAACCCATTCATTTACATCTTTAATCGAGGCTTGAAGGTGCTCAGGTCACCAATTTCTCTATGGAGGTAGTTTAAAAATGGTAATCAGGCTCTGACCTCATTGCCATTCAGTTTTTCAACTTTCACTATGGTTGGCTGAGTTCTCATTGGAAACCTGGCAGCTTCATTGAGATGAGAAATTGACAGATTCAGGATGAGAGAGTCTATCCTCCTGGGACCAAGGACCTCCCAGAGAAGCCTCTGTGATGCGTTGACTGACCACCCACCTTCATTCCAATGCCCCTCATCTCACCACAGGATTCTGACTTCCCTGGTGCCTCCAGCGGCGGCTTCCAAACTAAGCTTCCAACAAGTGATTGGCTGCTTATCTGGACTGACCCACTCCACCCCCTTTGCAGGTTTAACCGATCCTGCAATTTTCCTCAATGGCCTCCCTTGCCTCACTAGAAGCCAAGCACACACTGTTCAGCCCTACTGCACCAGGGAGTCAATTATGTAAAGTGTAGAGTAGAGCACATCAGAAACTATGAACATGGTAGACAGGGAATGTACACATAACTAATTATCTTTCCTTCCATTTTACTTGTTCTTTGTTGCACCTCTGTCAAAATGATTTCCACAGATATTTCTCATGTGGAATATTCTGCGGGATGTAGCAGATGGCTGGAGGAATACTCATAGGGTTTTGGATGACTGCATATATGACTGGATTCTGAGCGTGTGCTGGGCACTTGGGCAAAGATCCAAACTTTAATGATTTCTAACGTACATAAGTGATGAATACATTTAGAACATGCTGTTTCTTTTGTGAGTTTTATTGGCATGTTCCCTTGCAATCAGTTATTCTATGAGGAAAGCAGCTTTTGATGTCGACCACATTGACAGACCAAATCCAGTCAGCACGAAACTTATTCCATTTGGAGAAAGGAGTCTAATTGGAGTATGGCAACTGACCAAAATTGAAATTGCTTTAAGGGATAAGAAGAATGTCTTATTGAATAAACAATTTGCTTATAGGTGCAATATTATTCTTATATTCTTTGGGTAGCTGACATAACTCAGGAACAAATTAAGATGGCAGTCCACTCAAATAATTCATGTCCTTTTATAATGGGGGAATGAAAGTTAATTGAATTGGATTGGATTCTGAAAGCTCATTAATACTAGGACCTGCACTGGCAGTGTTTTCATTCCTCTTTATCTATTTTTTGCCTTTTTATTTGCATTGGAGTTTTCAGTCTCCTCCTAACTGAGGTGAACACATAACTTAGGCTGATACTTGGATGTAGTAATTATATTGGGAACCACAACCAACCACTGGTAGCTTGTGGTCGGGCATAGTTTGCTGCCATTAACCATCTTGTCTGTGCTGAGCCTAAGAGCTGTTTCAATTATCAGCTGTAGACGATTGATTACTAGAGAGTCTTAACAAGAAGAGGAACTTGTCTTACATAACAAGCTCACTGCAGGATAGATATACATACAATTAACATTAATTAGTTAGGCACAGTTAGAACTACCAGGTACCAAGCGTAGAGTAGAATAGCCTTTATTGTCACATATACTCAATGAGTATAGTGAAAAATTTATACACTACCAATTACAGCGCCAACTTAGATACAAAATAACCTAGGCACAGCTTCTTTTACTACGAGATTTGTTACAGAAATAAAATGTCCAGCATTACAGAAAAACGTTCAGTACAGCAGACCACGCTGGCACCTAGCTTTCAGTCCGCACTCAGCCCTGGCTCCACACTGTGCCAAGAGGCCACTGCACCAGGCGTGGAGGGTGCCACCCCACTGGGAGGTCCCTATGGGGGGAGGCCGCTGCTCCAGGCCAGGAGGGTGCCACCCGACACTGGGAGGTCCCTATGGGAGGAGGCCGCTGCTCCAGGCCAGGAGGGTACAGCCCAAAGCTGGGAGGTCCCTACGGGAGGAGGTCGCTGCATCAGGCCGGGAGGTCACCATGCCATGCTGGGAGGCCGGGAAGATGCCATGCCATGCCGGGACACTACTGCGTCATCGCTGGAGGCCAGGGATCATTGCTCACTGGAGGTCGGGAATTGTTGCTCCTTGCAGAGGTCGCTGGAGGCCGCGAGGGAAAAATAAAGAAGGAGAAGA